TTGATAAAGATGCTGCAACATCTTAGTTGATTGAATCCTAGTATAATGCTGAAGAAAATTGTTGAACCTTAGTATTCTGCATGCAATGTCAAAGAAGATGTTATGAAATTGTACTATGGAAAGTTGGTTAGAGTCTGAGTAAAAGTTTGCAAGCTTGACTCAACAAACTAGTTGATAATGGTCTTAATTCTTTTAGTAATCTTGTTGAAAGCAAAGGTGTTCTCCTTAGCTTGGGATCCCTGGGAAATTATTTTAAGACATTTCTAGCAAGTCTTTGAATGAAAGTCAGACTTAAATCTTGAAGGGTGTTTTTGGGAAATTGTTCTACTGTTGGGTCAATAACAGCATATGCGATGTGTAAAAACCTTATTGTCCAGTCAGTCATGGTTAGCCTAGACTGTGTCAGTTAGAGTTTTATTTGCTAGTAGTCAAAGCTTGGGAAAGGCAGAAGAAGACATGAGAGTGTCTCTCTCCTATAATGAATGGTTCATTGATAGATTATGATAACTTTTCTTTCTCCAAAATGTTTGACTGATTTTTTCTTCTTCGTTACAAGCAAGGAAATTGTTTTTTAATAAAAAAATTAAGTTGTTATAAGCAAGCAGGTCTCATTTTCCTCATCTCAAATTGTGTTTTAAACATGAGCCAATATTCACATATTGCTAAATTTAAAGAGGTTCACTTTCTAAGAGACAAGAGGGATGAGAGTTGTGTCTCAAAGAAGGATAAATCATCTTCTGAAGCATTGATGAAAAGACAGTTCTGTATTAGAAGAAAAGAGTGCATAAGGTTATTTGACATGGATAAAAGGTAGAGATGTTTTTAAAATACCTAGTAGTGTTGATGTCGAACCAGATGTTATGACATTCTATTTAACTTTGAATTTGGATAGCTCATGTGTATTGTTCTAAGAAGATGAGTCTCAGATGTGTGAACTTGGATAGCTCATGCTGTTCGTTTGGGTTTTCCTCAGTTCCGGTGGCCTAATTATTCGGTTTGGTTTTCTTGTGCTTTGATAAAAGTTTCTTCTTCCACTTGGGGAGGAGAATTAGTTCTTTGTTCCTAGAAGTGGTTCTCAGTGACAGGCGGAGTTATAAGCCTGTTTGTTTTTAATTGCTTCTATATGCAGTGTGTGTTTCTGCTGGTTGTGCATATTTACTCCAGTTTTTGTCAATATTTTGGCTAAAAGGGGAGTGGAGCATTGGTGTGAAACTATGTTGATTTAACATTGTGATAAGACTCTGTGATACTGCTAGGGGAGAGTAGCTATTGTGGTTGCTTGCTGAATGCAACTATTAAGGGAGAGCATGATAATCTGTCATACTGACTGAGCTGGAAGATGTTGCTGCTGCTACTCTGATGAGATGTGTGCAAAAATGTCAAACAAAGTTTATCTGACATTTTTCATGATGAAGAATCTCTTGGATTTTTGTGCTAAGATAGTTTTAGCCAAAATTTTCCAAAGGGGAGATTGTTAGTACCATGATTTTGTGATTGGCTAAATTTTGGAAAAACATGGTTTTTCATAATAGGATGTGCTGTTATGTGATTTTCAACCAGATGTCAAAGACAACGTCATGACATCTTGGTCTGGTGTAGCAGGTGTTGTTGTTTAATATTTCTTGACAAGATTTGATTTGATTTTCTGAGATTCCTTTTGGATATATCTCAGTTATTTTCGTAGGTCAAGAATATGCAATCTGAGAAAAGTGAATCAAATCTCCAACAACATTAAAAGTTTCTATATTAGGTTGTTCATCTAATTTAGAAAACTTGAAGATTTGTTCCAAGATTTAAGGAGATATTCTCTGTAGAAATTAACGCATGAATTAAGGAATAGTTGGGCAGAGACTTCGAAACCCATGGACAACTGAAGGCTTATATAAGGAAGACCAAGACCTAGGGCAAGATAATTATTAACAGATTGTAAAATAAGGGTTTAGGTTTGAGTGTCTCTCGTGTTCTTTGTGACTGTAAGTCACCCTTGTATCTTTTAATACTTGTGGTAGACATAGTGTTCTCACTCAGAAACCTTTAGGTAATGAGTTGGGTATTGTTCTCCTCTAAGCTTTTAAGCAAAGAGTTGAGTATTGTTATTGGTGGAAGATTTTAAGCAACCCAATTATTGTCCTTAGTTAAGAGTCCTAACTAAGTATTTGCAATTTAGAAGTGTGTTCTTCTTGGAAGTTCCTGAGATTGGAATTGTCTTTCCCTATGATTGGGAGTTTGATATCACTGTGGTGATTGGAAGTGATAGGGGTTTTCATATCTAAGAAGTGCCTAGGTAGAAGTTGCACTGGATAGGGATTAAGTGAGAGGTAGTAAACAAGGGAGTTTAGCTTCGAATTAATACTGCTAATAGTTGATTTCCTTCTTGACTTAGTAGCCCCCAGATGAAAGTGAGTTGCACTGAACTGGGTTAACAATTGTCTATCTTCTTCATCATTCTGCTTTTATAATTCTGCATAATATATGAATTTGGTATTGCTATTCAGCCTATTGACAAATGTTATAACATTCGTCATGACATCATATTCAGATATTTGTAACATCAGCTATGCCATATTATGTAAGTGTCAGAATTTCAGATTTCTTCAAAAAGAAGGAATCGACTTAAATGAAGTGTTTGCACCAGTTCCTATGATCGAAAAAAATCAGATTGGTTATTGGTCTAGAAAACATGAACAACTAGTATATGTGTCAGATGGATGTGAAATAATCTTTCATGAATGATCCATTAGTAGAAGAAGTTTATGTTGCACAACCAGTTGGGTTTGTGAAACAAGGCCAAGAAAGCAAGGTATACAGGCTGCATAAATCCCCGTATGAACTTAAACAAGCTCCAAGAGGTTGGAATAAGAAGATAAATAGTTTCCTAAGAGAGAAGGAATTTGTGAAAGGCACAAATAAGCAAGGAGTATACGTTAGAAGAAGATCGAAACTTCAAAGATGATCTTAGTAAGGAATTTGAAATGTTGGATATGTGCAACATTTCATACTTCCTTGGTATCGAGTTCTACAAGAGTAGTAGAGGCTCAATGATGCATCAAAGAAGATATGCAAGTTAAATACTCAAAAGGTTTGAGATGGAAGACTATAATGAAACTTTGACACATGCTGAACCACAACTGCAACTGTCGAAAGACTCCGATGAGTATGATGTCGACCCAACACAATACATAAGGCTTATTGGATAATTAAGATATCTTTGTCACACTAGGCCTAATCTAGCATACAATGTAGGCATGTTGAGTAGATTCATGCCAAAGGGAAAGGTATCTCGTCTCACAGCTACGAAGAGGATAATAAGGCATCTTAAAGAAAATCTTGACTATGGCATTTTGTTTCCTGCAGGTGATGAAGGAAAATAATGCAAACTAGTAGGTTACACTGACTCGATTTGGTGTGTAGTGATGCTGAGGGTAGAAAATTCACACCGGGTTATGTGTTTATGCTAGGTGGTGAACCAGTTGCTTGGGAGATCAAGAAAAGAACCAGTAGTAGCATTATTGTCGGGTCAAACAGAATACATAGTTTCTCCTCTTTGTGCATGTCTAGCAACATGGATGGTGAATTTGGCAAAATAATTTACAGGGAGGAATCATGGAGATATTACCATGAAGATCGATAACATGTTTGTTATCAATCTGGCGAAAAATCCGATAGCACATGGAAGAAGCAAATACATCAAAATGAAGTTCCATTATCTTAGAGAGCAAGTAGAAAATGGGAAGCTGAACTTGAACACTGCAGAACTAAAAATTTTGATTGCAGACATCATGATGGATGTCCAAGTAGAACTGTTCAAGAAATTGAGAACTATGATGATGTATATAGCTTAGACACAATGATATAGGTGGTGTGTTGAAAGTGTAATTCTTTGTGTCAAAGCAAGTAATTCGACAGAGTCTGTTATTGTCGAATTCTTTGTGTGTCGAAGAAAGTTATCGAAATGTTGAAGGAGCTAGTAATGACATAATTAAACTTAGCATTAGTTTTGTATGTTTTATCTGAGTTAATTAGTTAGTTAGAGATTGCTTGGTGTACAAGAAATCTAAGCTATAAATAGGGAGGTACCTACCATTTTAAGTGTGTCAAGAAAAGTTGAATAAATTTTCAGTTTGAAGACAGAGAGAAACTCTGTATAAACCTCTTTTTCTTCCCTTTTCTCTTAAACCCTAATTTCTCTTTTCTTCCCTGATTCATTATACTTTCTTCTCAAAATTTCCGTGTAGAGTGAATCATCTTGCAACCAAGGCGTGGTTGATTCACTCCAGTCAAGAGTGAAGAACCATAGGCCTAATCAATCAGAAAGATTAATTCTTGTTCATCAAGATTGATTCGAA